GGCGGCTGCATATAGCGTTGGTGAAACGCTATCATGGGTTCTGTGACGCACACGGGCACACTGCTATATCTAGATGTTACTGTGTGTGAGTGTGAAGGACAAGTTTGTCCTGTCTGTCTCCTCCTAAACAACTGTGCAATACAATCCAAAGTGGGGCACTCAAACTATGTGCATCAGACAGGTGTGTGTGTGTAATTTGTACAGTGCATCTGATTTGTGTGCGCGACTGTGTATTTGTGAAATAATGTTTGGCTGTAAACTTGTCCACTTTAGCTTTTGTTTCTTTATTAATGCATGTGTGTGTGTAGCCGAGCAGAGGAAGCTCTGATTCCATGAAGTACATGACACAGTACAAGTGTACAAGTACTAATGCAGTGCGATCAGGAGCGGGATCATTTCTATGAACTTCTTTTACGTATGTGTGTCTTCTGTTTATTGCTGGTTGTCCTCCTCTTTTCATGCCTCCGCACCGCGTTGTCAGGTTGTCCGTCTGTCCTGAAGGGAATGTCTTCTAAACTGTGACTGAGGTCCAGCTGGACTCGAGGTTGAACCAATCAGATTCCCGAGGTGACGGGTTAAGGTCGCTGCGACCTCACCTCCCTCCCATTATCGTGAGCGCAGTACATCTCCGGAACGCCTCGATGGAATTTCTTCAAATTTGGCACAAAAACGTCAAAAAAACGACAATAGCATGTTTGGGTTGCCAATATTCGTAAAGTTCCAAAGGGTTTACTTCTCTCATGTCAAGCATCCCTCGGACTCAAGGATGAAATGATTAGACGTTTATGATCACAAGTCAAGAATTCATATGCTTATTATGACATTTTACACAAATGTGTAAAAGGATGAAATGATGACATTTCAGACAGACACGGATGTCAACTGCAACCTGCCTGGTTGGCGGAAGGATACAACTGCGAGGCGGAGGTTCTACTTTTTGTCCTGCTGTGTCATTCTCTCATTCATATCCACCCTCTGTCTCTCGTCCACATTATCAACTCCAGCTCAGCTTCTCGCGTGTGCGTGCGTGCGTCACTGGTCTTATTATAGAACCACCTCTGGTCCGCCTGTCTGCACAGCTGCATCACTCACAGTTTACTTTACAACTATATCACAATGCTATCACAACAATATTTGTACACTTTCTATATCAGTATATTACTATATCAAGTCAGAAGACATTCAAGCTTTGTTCTGCCGCTGTGGTTTGCCGTTAACAAAAAAATAAAAGCTGCCGTTGCTGGAAACCAAGCAGATGTGAATCACTGACATTAACCATTACACTGGTCAAATATTACAGCCTCCCTTCTGCCTCCCTCCCTTCTGCTCTCCAGTGTCACTATAGAGAAACAACAATAGCGAGTGGCCGACTTATGTTGACTGAAACATGTTCCTCTGTAGCATCGGAGCAGTTCAGCATTGAGGATTGATTAAGAGCAAATACATTTCAATATTAAATGTAGGAGCAGCAGAAGAGGAAGTAAATACAAAAATTCATTCAAATGTCACAGTTGATTACTGAACTATGGAGCTGCTCCAGCCTGCAGCTGCTCTCATGTAATGGTTTGTGGGGGTGGACTTGTCGAGGCCTGCAGTGGATGTCTCGGTTATTATGCCTTTTAGCTCCCGTGTGTGTGTGTGTGTGTGTGTGTGTGTGTGTGTGTGTGTGTGTGTG